ACCACAGTTCGCTAACTACTGCGGTGGGATGAGGAAAGTACTCCCCTGGGTACCCGTCGTTCCTGTTTAAGCGGGAAGGCGACAACTCTAGTCAACAGTTGGTCGGATCTAACAGTCTGGCTGCTGGCGTGGACACACCGGATCCCACCCGAACTCCGAAGTTAAGCACGCGGGGCCCCGTGTAAAAGCAGGGTGGGTACTCCCTCTTTTTCACATTCTTTGAAAAATAGTTTGGTCCTAAACGGCGCCTCTATAGTCTGTTCGGAATTCGCTGGATGGTGCGCACCTCCACCGCTCCCCCCTCGCCCTCCGCGCCTGCACGCTAGTGCGTCGGCAACCCATCGAGCCGCGTATTCTTACGGACACCCGGTACATCAAAGCTCATTTCGTTTGCGCAAAACAGGATGATTGGTTTTTTAAATATTCATAAGAAATGTTTGACACTAAAGTCAGGGAACAAATGTCAAACTATGGCGAAATCTTTTTTGGGTTCCTTTAGTGAGAGGTCCTAAGCGGTACCCAAAGTGCCACACTGGCCCTGCACCCGGCCGTTTGGCATTGGCACCCATTTTATTCCCACGTTCATGTACCTACTTGTGTGTTTTGAAATTCAGGAACAGCATATAACATAAAACTGAGTATGCTCCAAGACATTTTATTTACTTTTTTATTATCACAAAAAATACAGTTCTTTTGGTTTCTTTGAATCCTTTGCATGATAGGTCAAAGTGTTAGTATATTATAATTATACGCTCAAAAAAACAACAAAAAACAACCTGATTTGTCAGGATTATGAAAATGATTTTGAATGTCCATTTTAAATTAACTATGTGTTGTTCGTAGTGGTTTTGTTCATACAGCTGCATTAGGAACAAATACATGTGAAATTGTTTCTGTTTTACAAAACTTTTGGCAGTACAAAAATCACATTTCTCAAGGGACCAATGTCCAAAACCTTTACAAATATGTGGTAGGGCCAGCAAGTATGAATTCAGTTTATTTTCACACATTCCCAAAAAGTAGAGATGAAAACCAAACAACCAAGTACTATTGGTATCGTGAACAGATGATGAAAAATTGACTACTATGAAACATAACTTTTTCAATATCACACCAACAACAGAACTATACTAAAGTATATTGCACATAATGTTAAAAACTTAATCATCTTAATAAATTTTGGGTCTGTTCCTTTTCAGAGGAACAGACCCTTTATCACAGACTGCAGTGGTTGGTAGGAGCAATGACAACAACAATTTTGACTGATGACAGATTATCAGCCCTATTTTGTTTGGACACCAATCCACTAATTTTTTCCCCGTTACTTGGTCCATTGAGTCACACGGAGCTCCACTTCTTTCTTTTCCCAAACTGGGGTAATCGGTAGGAAAAATTATCACTATGCACAGTGCCGATGAGGTGAAACTAGCATCCTTTTGTCGAACAGACTTTTTCTAGTCGTGACTCCCCGAGCCGGAGATTCCTTTGCTACTGACGCTGACTGCACCACAAGGAAAAGAGGAGGGAGCGAGCACAACTAGAAGTGCGTGTTTTGGCTGTGTTCGCTGTACCCGGCAGACGTCTGGTCGTAGTCCGCCGAGGACGGCGATCGTCAGACCCTGAACTCGTCCATTCGCTGCATGGACTGCGCATGGGCGTCCGTGTTACGTTTCTTGAGCGTGCCCATGCCCATCCCCTGGCCCAGTCCCGCCGAGTCCAGGGTCTGCAGATGGTGGTGGTGGTGGTGATGTTGTTGTTGCTGTTGCTGTTGCTGCTGCTGCTGCTGCTGCTGCTGTTGGTGTTGGTACCGCTCCGACTCGGCCGAGAGCGTGGACGACTTGACGGGGACCTTGGGCGCCTTCACCTGCTGGCGCGTCAGCGTGCTCGTGCTCGACAGCGCCCCGGCCGCCTGCTCCGCGTGCTGGCAGACAGACAGAGGCAGTTAACAGTCCGCCCAACAGGCAACTTCAAACGCAAAGCCCGCGAAGGTACGGGTGATTTCTGTTAGTCTGGCCAGTGCCTTACCTGTACATGCTGTTGCTGGTGGTGCTGTTGCTGCTGCTGCTGCTGCTGCTGCTGCTGCTGCTGTTGCTGCTGCTGTTGTTGTTGCTGCTGTTGTTGTTGATGCTGCTGCATGTGCTGTTGCTGCTGCTGCTGGGGCGGCGGCTGGGCGTGGGGCGCGGGGTGCGGCAGCGTGGCGTAGGCCCGCGGCAGGTCGGCCACGTCGGGCGGCGGCAGGTGGGCGCCCAGCTGCAGCGTGTGGTTGTGGTGGTGGTAGGGGTTGTGGTGCGCCACGGAGGTCACCGTCTGCAGCCCGCCGGGGATGATCTGCAATAGACATTAAGTATGCAACCTTATCACACGTGAAAGAGATTCAGCTTCAGCTCCTCATCGCAAAAGAAAAAACAAACAAGGGAAAAGTAGAACGCAAAATGATTTTTGTACCGAGGAATAAACTCGGTCTTTGACTTAAAATTTCGCCCTAATGGTGGTTGGATCATGATCATCCAAAACGTGCGTCCATCATCTGCCGTTACCAAATTGCCAGGTTCAGCCAATGCAAGGTCTCATAGCGCCAGATAGGTAGGCAACATCTTGCCTGCATCGCGCGCGTGTACTGCGGGCCGGCCTACCCCGAGTTTCGCAGGCGCCGAGGTCCCGATCTAATGCGATTTTCGAAATAATGGGCTAATCACCTGCAGATGGTCAGAGCCGCAGACGCTGGCGTGTATCTGGCCGTTCTCCGCCCTCTTCTTGAGCGTGCCCGAGCTGCCGCCGTCGCTGCTGGAGCGGCTGTCCCCGCGACCCTCCCGGTGCTGCGCGAGAGAGAGACAGACAGAAGGATGTAAGACAAAATCGAGACGGTCCAATACAAAAGAATTAGAGCTTGTCGAAATAAAGCCATAGGGTTAGCGAAGGCCTGGAAAGTTTCTGAAAAATAAATAATTCAAAAGCGCAACCACTTACCTTGTCGCGCTGCCTGAAGACGCAGGCAAAGACGAGCATGTTGAGGAGGAGCAGGGTGCAGCCGATGGCCACCGTGGCCGACAGCGCGGTCGAGTACGCCGCGAACCCGTCCGGTTCCGGTGGCAAGCCGTCGCTGCCGCCGCCGGCCGCCCCGACGACGCCGACGCCGTCTGCGGGGCCGGGCGCGGGGGCCTGGCCGGCGCCGCCCTGGACAGCGCCGCCTGCCGGCACCAGGGTCACGGCCGGGGCGGAAGTCACCGCCGTCGAGCTGCCGCCGAGGAGCGGCGTCCTGGAGAGACAGGGAGAGAGAGAGACGGCGTGAGCACGGAGAGGCACAGCAATTCAACTTAATGCCTGTTTTTATTACAGTTCGAGCCTGCTTCATGAGCTATTTCAGATGAACCCGAACCGATGTCTGATGCGAGAGAAGGACGTTTCGGCTAGAGGGAGGGGAAGGGGCAGGGGCGTTGCAGGACAGGGGAAAAGGGGGAGGGGCGCAAAGCCAGATCGGCGGACGGGCAAGCGGGCGGGACAGCACAGAGAGAAGAACCCCCGCGCCGGGGAAATAATTCGGACCCATTTGGAGAAACTAAACAAGAACTGCTTTCAGCCTTGTTAGTTCAATTCATTATGGTGCCCTGGCCTGCCGGCCCCACGAAGCACGGAGGCTGGCTGCTCCGCGGAGTCAACAAGAGAGACAACTCTCTCCTCCTCTCGCTCGCCCCCGCGCCTAGTGTCTCTCGACAGGCGAGACACAATGTCGGCGAGGTTTTTGTTGAAGGAGCAGGGAATACAGCAGCACAAGTCTTGCCAGCGCGCCACCCCCGCACCGGGAGAGAGAGAGGAGAGGGGGACGGGGGGGTTGCAGGGGTGCGTCGCCTTGCCAGTTCGGAGCAACGGGCCAGCGCGGCAACTTGGCGCCCTATTCATCAGACTCCCGAGGCGTGGCAGGGCGTGGCGGGGCGTGGCAGGGCGTGGCGGGGCCGTGCTGCGCCAAGTGCGCGCGCGAACGTACCTGGCGTTGGAGGCCGTCGTCCTTCCGGTGGCGTTGGCCGCGCCGCCCCGGTCGCCCTCCTCGTCGGCGAGCTGGTGGTGCTGCGGGGGCACGCCGTCGCCGCCCGGCCGGTGCAGCTCGGGCACCAGGTGCAGCCAGAAGGACAGGCGGTGCGCGCGGTAGTGCGTCTTGACGCGCGGCTTCAGGTCTGGCGAACAGAAAACAACAGCATGAGCGGCACGACAATAACAACAACAACCAACCACAACAAAAAAATAATAATAAAAAAAATAAATACACACACACAAAAGCAACAACAACAACAACAACAACAATGCGCCGCACTCGTTATTCCTCGGCACCCAGACGGCGGAGAATGCCAAGCAAACGAGCAAACCCCAAAGTCCCCCTCGGCTGCGATAATAACAAATAATCGGAGTAAAGGGAAACACCGGCGCCGTCAAACGGGAGGAGGAGGGGAGGGGGAAGTCCAAGAAGTGTGAAGCAGGGAGTGAGCAGGACTGAGGGGGTGGGGG